AGGAGAACTCTGCTTTCGGCACGCGGAGCCAAGAGACGGAGCGGGGCAGAGGGACGGGGCCCGCGATTGCTCCCCCACGCTCGGGCCTGGGCCGGCCGCCCCTCCCCTCTCCCGCTCGGGAGCAGCCCCACGCTGAGAAACACACACCGGGGGAAATGAGAATTAGCAAAAACATAATCACGCCGAGGATCTTCTCCGGTCGCCCGCACCTTTCGCCGGGGTAAGTGTGCGCATGCGAGACATGACGATGTGGACTCTGACAGAGAAGCGCAGCCGCCAGTCCGGCCCCTGAGCCCAGCCGGTCTTCAGCCCTGCCTCCGGCCTCCCCGTCCCCTCCGGACGGCCGGGGAGGGGTTCTCTCGTGGCTTTGGTCGGCCCCGGGCCCCGCAGGGCTCAGCTCGCGGCTGACGGAAGCTCTAGTTTAAAAACTTCCTGCACTTCTTGGCGCCGCAGTTGCAGGGCAGCTTGTTGCTGGCGTCTTCAATGGGGAACTTGTAGTCGTACGTGAGCTCTTCCCCCCGGTAGATCTTGCGCATGGCGAAGATGACGATGTGTTTCTGGCCGTCGATGTTGATGACCCGGGAGTAGCAGTTGGGCTCGCAGGAGTGATTGATGAAGCGGGCCGCGTTCCCGTGCATGGTGGCATCCACCACTTCGGAGTCGTCAATGCGGAACATGTAGCAACCGATCCCCTACGCACGGAGGACAGAGAGAGGGTCAGCTCAGGGAAGCGACGGCAGAGCCGCCCTAGCAGACAGCCTAGCTCACGGCGGCAGCCTCACGTCAAGCCCTCACGAGCGTCTGTGACCTCTCCTCGCCCGTCGGGGCAAGCTTGGCCCGGAGCCGCTCTGTCCCCGCACCCTCTGATCTGCCAACGCCACGGCCGGGCCGAGGTGCCTCCCAGCCCGCAGAGGTGGCGCCCCTCCGGAGCTCCAGCAGGAACAAAGCACCCCGAGAAGCCCGCGGTCCCAATTCACCGTGCTCCAAACAAACGCAGCCTTCGCGTAAGCCTGTCCTACCTTCACAGCCACTTTCTACTTCTCCCAAACTCTTTAAGAACCTCTGCGAAAGCCCACAACTCACCTTACTGTCGTAGTATTTCTCTCGTTTGTCAGTGAGGATGGAGCGAATGACATTGCCTGAATATTCGATCACCATCTCACCTGCATCGATGTTCCTTTTGCAGAACAGACCCCGGCCGTGGATGGGAGACCTGGAAAGGCAACAAGGTAAGCGGCCGTTCCCAAGGATGAAGCGCAGGCGCACGAGGCTGCCAACACTGCGGGACACAGGTTATCACCCGTTACGAGAATCG